GACTTGGATTCAAGGCTCAAGCCTAATTCCTTTCATTCCCGTGGAGCTCCTTCCAGTAATAAGGTAAGACCTAAGTACTCTGCCGGTTTCTAGATAGCCTAATGTTGGTGTAATATCTGCTGTCATGTGTATATTTTTTACAGGCTGTCAGCTATCCGATCAAACTCAACAATGCAGCTATTTTAAGGAAGGAGGCACTGTATAAGCGTTGGGTGGAGGAGGAGGTCCAAAGGTACAGCACAGCTTTTACCTGCTACTTTGACCTTTTCCAAGGTGTCTGCATAGTGCTCCACGAGGATGAAGTGCAAATCAAACACATGAAAAGTTGCATCCTTTGTGCGTCTGTTTTTAATACAGAATTGAGCGGCTGGTGCAAGGCGAGCGCGATCCTTCATCTTTCCTGCAGTGGCAAAAGGAGATGCGTGAGAAGGACCTTCAGGAGCAGTTGCCCAAGATTGAGCGCCGACACCTGGAGGCATGCATCAGTGAACAGGAGGCAGCTCTGGCCCGCAAACGTATAATGGAGCGCAATCAGAAGGCTGCGCAGCTGAAGAAAGAAGAGGTAGGTAAAAACCAAGTGGCAACTAATAAATAAAAGGAATTCACAGAGGATTAAACTTGTTGTCGTCTTCTTTATGGCTTGTTTGCTTTTTCTAGACCGCTCAGCTGATGCAAAGATATGCTGAGAAAAGGTTGCAAGAGGAAAAGGAAATAAAGGATCTGGTGCAGCAAGTGGCAGATGGCCACAAGAATTCAAAGGCAGCTAAAGAGAAGTTACAGAAGCTGAAGCAAAGCATAGGTGCGCCTCCTCAAGCAGCTTGTCAAACGGGGCATTTCACGTGTTTCTTTTTGCTGTTCACATCAATGTCATGACAAATTTCACAGTGAAAGAAGTCTCCGAACAGAACCAGGAGCTGCTTCGTCAAGCACTGGAGGAAGCAGAGGCAGAGATGAGCCGCAAATTTGAAGTCATCCGAGAAATTCACTGCATTGAGTCGCTTCCTCGCATGAAATTCAAGAAATTTGATGACACAGACGTAAGTGAAGGAAAGCTGCAGTACTATGCAAAAAAGAAAAGTGGTTTCAATGTGGATCAAGACTTTTGCACAGTGCTGTATCTTATACTGAGATGCTGTTATCGATCTCTGTGTCACAGTTATCTAATCCCATGTCAGACTGTAGGCCATGAGCTGCTGGGAGAAATGTCGCTGTATGAGACGAAGGAGCGGCTGGCCCATCTGAAGAACAAGCAGCAAGCAGAGCAGGAGGAGAAACGGAAGCTCATCCTGGAGGAGAAGCAGAAACAGAAGCAGCAGCTGATGGAGAAGCTGGATGCCATCAACTTCCACAGCAGCGTCCTGGCACAAGCTACGGCCATCAGGTCAGGAAAGTGGCAAACAAAAATACTCAAACGCAGAAATGTGCACATGTGCATGTACTGATGCTAGTTTTGGCATGTGGCAGGAAAGAGGAGAGGAAAGCCGAGAAGGAATTAATTCAGCAGGTGGTGGCTCAGGATGAGACGGTTTTAGCTCTGAAGAAGATGCTTGAAGAGAAAAAGCAAGAACGTCAAAAGCTCAAGCAAACTGAAAGCAAGGTCAAAGCCCCTGAAGAGACAGGAGGACACACAGGGACACACAGCCAGGTGAGTGTAAAGTCCACAACAAAGAAGAAATGAAAGAAGAAATAAAACGTATCCATAACTCCTTTCTCTGTTTCCTCTTTTGCCAGGCGAGTGTGACAAGCTGGGAGGAGCTGGAGCAGAGCTTGTCGCGCCTTGTAGAGAATTTTTCTTGACTCAAGCTATAAATGTGTTTATCAGGCACTGCAATCTTATGACTGTTTAATTTAATAAAACACGTGTGGATAACATGTGCAGTCATTTGAAGTTGTACTTATGTACTGATGTTGATCGCTGCTTGGTTTTCTGCAACAGTCGAGTATTACGACTTTTTTAAATTTTTTGTTTCAATTACTGCCAAAGTTATCGAAACTCACGTCTGTACGTAACATGAAAAAAGGAAGCGAGCCTTCAACCGTGACTGAGGAGGAATGTTTCCCTTCCCCTAAACAATACTGTTTTCTGTGGCTTTCTGTGGTTTTCTGCGTCTTGCTACCAATTTACTGTACTAAATAAATACCAAGAGTCAAGTATCATATCTTTTGGGACTATCCACAACAACAAAAAAGAGAACTACTGCAAGCATAGACACAAGAATTGAACAATATACAATAACATTTCTCTGTGATATTCTATATTTAGCACAAAGCAACATAAAGTATATTAATGATATGATTTTATTTTATTTTTGTAAAAATTAATTAAGTAATTTTCATGATAAATTCGTATTACTGCTTGGACCTAGTTTGAATCGCTTCACCTGCGGACCGGGAGCAACTCTGAGCCTAATGCATGATGTTTTAATAAGGCGGTGGTGTCCCTGTTGGTTGTTCCTTGTAACTACACCAGATCTGTCTTGAATTGAGCCCATTTCTCTCGGTTTTTTCCCTCTAAACCAAAATCACATGATGCCTTTTTGTCATATGACACTGATGAGTGGGCTGATTCCCCTGACAGCGTACTCTATGAAAACAAAGGAAACGCTGCCACATTTAAGAGATGAGATGCTGTAGACAAGCATTGTTTGGTGGCTGCAGTCGGTAATCTGGAGCATGGACTGTCGGGGAGTTCTGGCTGCGATCACCGCCGCTTGTTTCATAGGTAAGTGGAGTGGCTTGTACCGTTAACGAAACGGCGGCGGTAATCCTATAAACCAAGGGTCTAATACAAAGATTTACTATATAGTATGAAAAAAAGCACGAAGTCACCTTAGGTTAATTCACTACTGAAAAGTGCTGATGGTTTGTTATTGAAAGTATAGAAACAGTAGAATCAGTTCTAATGTTGTTGCATCATGTAATTTAGACTTTGTTCAAAGCAAAACTTTATTACACACACTTTTCTTTGCACCAGGACACCATAATGAAATCAATACACTGGCTCACTGTATTTCCGTGGTACTTATTGCTTTTGTATTTCTGTTAATATAATTTTATCCGTTTTTACAAACTCCCTGACTTGTAATTCAAGAAGCATATCTATTTGGGAGAGAACTGCTGCCAACCCAGAGGAGACTGGAGCTGAGAAATCATATGACCCCTTTCTGAATAATTGCATTTCATGAGGAGGATGGCTCCTATTCAAGAAAGCAGTTAAGCGCAAGGCTTATGTGATTACTACCACAATATGGGCTCTGTTTTGCTGATGTGCCTATACCTTTTGCAGCCACCTTTTTTTCTTTCTTTCCCTGTTGGATAAACTTTTTGTAAAATCATTCAGCTATAGTTGATTGAAGAAGTTCTTCCTCTTTTAATAAAGGCAATGCAGCAAGGTTGGCTCTCAGGTCACTCATCCACTTGCTAACATTTATTTTTCATACTTCTGTTGTGTCCCTGAGGCTGTGTCCTAGCTCAGTGCGTGTCTAGGGAGGAGGGACGTGAGGGTTCAACCTCAGTCCACAGCAACATTTCAAAGCAGGAGACTGAATCATGGAGAGATGCAGGGAGACAGGAGTTAAAATCCTGGTTATTATTTGCAATACTAATAAATAAACGAAAACATTCAAAGAGAAGGTATGCAGGAGGGTCCCCCAAAATGTTTGCTTACACTGTTTGTATTAATTATTAGTGATCATACCACATATTTTTGCTTTCATGCACTCGAACCATAACCTTTTCACTACATTTAGGTACTTTTGAACCTTTTTAAGACAGCTGACTGCATATATACCATTGTGTCCTTCCTTCTCAGGCTTAGTGGTGAGCCAGACCACTCTTACTCCTGCTGTGACAGATACCACTCTGATCGAAAATGTGACCAGTCTGACTCCGACACCCGTGATTTTCAGCAGCACCACCTCAGGCTGCTTCACTTTTAACCTTTCTACTTGTGAGCCATGTGCACCGGGGTCACAGTACGACAACAGTGAGTCAGTGACTATCATCTGCCATGGCTTTATTTTATGATATTTCTAAATATGCTATATTTAATGTCCTTTCTGTTAAGTACCTGGCTTTGCTTTTGTTGATATTAAAATAAGCTGTATGATATTAAAGCAGCAAAAAGGAAGAGTAAAATCAACTTTTTGTCAATCCCCCCAGACACCCTTCTGTGCACGTGCTGTCCTGACTCAGGGCGGTGTGTATTTCCTGGCGCGTGCCTGCCATGCACCAGAGGATTTTATCAGCCACTAGCAGGACAGCAGCAGTGTCTACCTTGCAGCCGGGGCTTCTACACCAAGTAAAGACTAATTTTGCTCCAGCAAATTCAAACTTCACTTTTTTTCTCTCTTTTTAAATAGAAATCCAGAGTTTACATCACTAATAATTTTTTCATATGCTGTATCCACTTCAGTTTCACTGGAAGTCCATTATGTCGCCCTTGCCCTCCTGGGGACTTCAACAATAACACTGGTGAAGACTCTTGCACAAGTTGCTCACCAGGTTTGTTTATCTAGCAGTCACTCATTGTTTTCTATATCAGAAAACAGAGAGTGTTGATTCCCATACATATGCTTTAATTGTAAAATATTGCTATAAAATACACACAACTTAAAGAGAAAGGCACGCTTTATGCTTTTGATTATTTTCTGTTACAAAACAATGGATCCTCTTAGTGGATGTGGTTTCAAATAATAGCTTAAGGTTCAGGCTTCAGACTCCTCTAAACATTTGCTCGGTAGCCTTTCCGTATGATGTCACTCTGAGGTGATATCTGTATTATGGTTATCTCAGGAAATTTGAACAGGTCCCCTTAAAGTCTACAGATATGCTTGCATTAGTATATGTTGATATCTATAACTCAAAACCACAAATTATGTATATTTCTGTTCGGTTTTTAGGTTTCTTTTCATCGCAGAGTAATTCTACTTCATGTAAACCGTGTGCACAAGGACGTTTTTGCAAGTAAGTTGGACCTGATTGCTGCTGGGACTGCATTTCTGTTTGTGTGTCCATTTTTCTGTTTTGTTGTTGTTGCCCTGTAACTGAGCAGAACTCAGTGTTTGGAAAATAACTTATCTAACCACCAAACTGAGCATCACATGCTTTCATCTCATGGTTCTGAGTTGCCTGCACAGTTGCACGCCACACAAACACACCCACACGCACAGACACACACAGGACTAGCTACACAGTGTCTGCTTTGAGTAATCTGCAGCTGGCACAAAGTCACGAATGGCATGCACAGCCCTGTTTAAGTGGTTTATGTGACTCCTATTGAAATGAATGTAGTTTTGATTCATGACAAAAATGCATTATCCCTCCATTACAGTTTGAGATATGGTTACAGGGGGCTAATACTCCTTTGGATTTTCCCAGGTTATTTTTGAGAGTTTCCAGACTAGATAGGATATGTAGGCTCACGCGGTCTAGATGACGTGTCCCAAATAACCTTCACAGGGAGGCGTATTGCAAGATTCTTAATCACAGCTAAACTGTGGGTGTAAAAGAGCAACAATATTAGCTCCTTCTGTGGATCTGGGGATTTATTTTTTACCATTTAGAAACTGACAGTCATTAAACACTCATAGTCATATTAAGCAACTTCTCCATTGGCAGAGCTTCAAGGCTTCATTGTGAGAGTCTGGTGACCTCTTTGCCTGCTGAAAGCACTTCCTAGGGCTGATTGCAAGTTTGCTTCTGCACTAATAAAAGCGATATTCCTTTTTAGTCTGTCCATACTTGCCAGCCAAGCCTGGAAGCCTATCTCCTCACTGCCAGCATCTGCCAGCAGGTTCCTGGGCTGCTGCCATGATAGGAAGTGATGTCTCACAGCCACGACGCCATATGTTATTTACAGATGCTAAAAATAGTGTTTGGGACTTGGCCTCTCTTTATTTTTTTTAGTTTGATGAACTACCTCCTGCCACCACCAAGTTACAAAACATTTCTCCAGTAGTCACTGTTTTATCCACTGATCTAACTGTTAACTATTGACAACAACCATTCATATTATTAGTAGGATCTTTGATCAGTAGACCTGCTCCAAAGTGTTCACATGTATTTTACAGCTATAAATGTTGTTTGTTTTTTTTCCTGACAGCTCATCGGGTTGTACTCAGTGCCAGATGTGTCCTGGAGGCACAGAAGCTCTGCAGACTGCCGCTAAGGACTGCTCCCCATGTCGGCCAGGTAAACTAGAGTATCTTAAATGGGCTGTCACTTAGTCATTTGTGTGAGTGTTTGCTGTGGCTTGCAATAGAGAAAGATAAGAATTGCTTTCCATCCCAGTGATGTGTGATTTTTTGAACAGGTATGTACAAGGCCGCCCGTCAGAATATGTGTCAAATCTGCAGCAGTGGTTATTTTCAGATCCACTGGGGCCAGGAAAGCTGTGATATCTGCCCAGAGAATCACTACTGCCCTGTGAGTGCGCCACACTCTCTCCGATGAAATACATGCGTGTGCATTTAAAAGATATTTAGCGACAGAGCATGTTATTCTCTCAGAGTCCTGACGTGAACCCCATTCAGTGTCCGAGTGATGCCTTTTGTCCAGAGGGCAGC